GTAATAGTGAGCTTTCAACATATTGTTGTGAATACAACGTTCAATAATAATAATAAAGAAACAATCATATACACATAAAAACATTATACTTCGTTTGTTTTGATGGAAATGAGTTCCAGGTAAAGCTGAGCCTCATCAGCAGCTATAACCCTAGAACAAGGGTTATTTATTCACAATGTATCTAAGACACTCTAGTCTGTGCTATGCACTCTGAAAACAGCTTGTTTTTTGGATGTTGAACTATGTATATATATATATATATATATATATTATAGACAACATACTGTTTTGTATTTGAATTTAAGTTCCAAAAATGAAAATATATCTTATTTTAAATCTACTTTCAAATTTAAAATAATTTCAAAAATTACTTACTTGATGTGTTAATATGGGTATCGGATTAATGCTCATTCCATATGATCTAAATGTTGTTCTAGTATGGAATTACAATATTATTTTAGTAGTCCTGATGCAGGCTTTTCGCCATATTAGGATATAAATCATTATTTGTTTATTGAAACAATCAATAGCACATGTCGAAACAATTAAATTGATCTGTTAGTTCAATAGCCTTATTTTAGATAATAAATTAAGTAAAAATAACAGCATTTGTTTAGAAAAATTGACTGCCCAACAGTGTTAAATCAATGTAGTATTCAGAAGAAGGTACCATATTGTAATTTCATAGTATATTTAAAGAAATAGAGTATTATATATGCAAAGACAACCTTCAAGCACTATCAGATTCTAGGTAAAACTTGTCAAAAATTATTATATCAACATACAAATGTTTAATATCAATATAACATCTCTACTTAGCTTACGTGGGTGAAATTCATGTGAAAAACATGTAAGAGAAGTTGATTAAGAAAAAAAAGAGTAAGGGTAAAGAAATATAAAATGATTATAAAACATAATGTCCCAAATACAAATGACAACTATTTTAGCAATTAGCATAAAGTTTGTATATTAATCATTACTAAGTTCAATTCACAGTAAGTTTACTTACCAACTTGGGAAGCTACCCAACAGACTATTGTAATAAAGTAAAACAATACCAAAGTAAGCAAAGTGATTTCAAGAAGTGAAACAATATATTGATACTCCAATAAATGAATTTCATATTCAAAACTTTAAATATATGATTCATCTCTGACTGTTACTTAAAGATTTCAAAGAAAACTTTTGTGTATATTTTTTCCACAATGAAATAGTTGGGTGTATAAGGAAACTTAAACATGACAGACTTGCACTGAGGTTCTGTATCATCAATCTTGATGGGTTGCCAAGAACTTGCATAGCTTGAAACTGCAATACTTTGAATTCTGTCAATTAACATAATCTAGTATGTTTCATTTTACAAGCTAAAACAAGTGTAAGATAAAATCATAAGCAAAAGACCAAGCTATGTTGGAAAAAAGCCTTGCACAATAAACAAACAAATTTATGCACGCTCACCTGAAGTAACATCCCCTTGTATGTACTCATTTCCTTGGGTTTCATAACTGCATTCAAGTTCTAAAATTCAACAAACGACAAAAAATACAATATTTCACTTGAACAAAAAACTACAATAAAATGTTTTTTCACTGTCACTGTAATTGAATTTTACTAAGAGCTTATTCTGGACAAAAAAAATCCAGAAAATCAACATCTAAATTGTTGTTATCAAGTCTATATCACAACATCTTCTCCTTAAGTTCAGTCCTATTCGTGCAGTCCACTTCTGTTTCCTCAGTATGCTGATTTCATGAGGAACTTTATTTCAGTGGATGAATTTTTCCTCAGGAATGAACCATGAACAACAAGACTACTGTGCTAACTGTGTGCAAATTTCCAATTTCTAAAACAGGTAAGTACCCTAAAAAGCCCTATACTTTTTATACTTTACCAAAACAGACAACAGTTTGTTTAGCTTTAAGAAGACATCCATGTTTTCATTTAAATTTGGAGAGCTCAAACATTCTTTAAAAACTTCTGTGTGGAGCTTAAGTTATATAGGTTGTAAAAGTAATTTTACATAAAATATACTCATAATTATACACGTAAACAGCGAAAACAAAAGACAGCAGGGTTCCATTAAAAAGCATTTTTACATTTTTATGATAGGTATAATACGTTCGTTCATATTACTTTATACATTATTTGCAAATATCTTTCAGAAAAGTTATAAAGTTTTGATGTTTCTATAAGAGCTTTATGAAACCATTTCTTTCTTTTTTTGCACTGCTGAAAATTTTTGATATATTCCATTCAGTGTGAATTGAGCATCATCAAGTGGAAAAACTTGGAACTTAAACCTTAGATAAAAATTACTGTTCAATATTTGTTTGTTTGTTTTACAATTGGGCACAAAGCCACACAATGGGCTACCTGTGCTCTGCCCACCACGGGTATCAAACTGGATTTCTAGCATTGTCAGTCCACAGACATACTGCTGTGCCACAAGGGGGCTGTTCAATATTACTAATAAATTACTAGCTGCAAGATCTCTGAAAACATAACTATCTATCTGAGAGCAAGCTTGGGGATTACTGATTAAATAAGCTAAATGGGACTTAGTAATTTTTGGATGAATTTTATAGCACTTTTATGAGAGACACCAAAGAAGATTAGGATGAAATAACTCTTCTAATAATTTTTGTTATTTTTACAATAGGAAGGTATGAATAGAATTATTGAGAAAATAAAAGCCTGCAACAATAATTATACAACAAAATATAAAATTTTTCTGAACTTCAACATATCTAACAGAATGACACTTTAATTCTACCAACATGTACAAATAAGGGACAAGATGAGTGACCAAAATGGATGAATAAATATAAGGAAATAAAAATTAATTTTATCATCCAATCCACATAATGTAAAGAGTTAAAATATTGCCACAGACTGTGAACAACCAATCAACACTAAAGATTGAACCAATCACCAGGAAAAGTACAATATAAAAAATATAGAAGTCTTAAAATACTTTTATTATTTCCCAAACAGTATTCTTCACAATAAAAACAGTATATTATTCATCCTAATTCTGTAACATGTATCTTGGAGCACTACTTCAATTTTTCATTAATATAGACAATACCCATATACAAAAGTGTTCCTACCCTCTGTACACATTCACATGCAGAAACATATTAGACATTTGCTGGAAAATAATATTGTAATGACACTGAACCTCCTATAGATTACATTTGCTTAAAGAGGATGATCTTTCTGGTGAGGCCTTTAAAAGAGACTTGATGAAGTGCATATCTGAAGAAAACATCAGCATCGAGACTGATATTTTATTTATGTAACAAATCTTGACCTATATAGTCCATGGAACATTCAACACCAACATATATTATGTATGCACCCAGTGTTTCAAACATATTCATAACAGAACAGGCGCAAGCCTGAATAAGATATTTTTCCTAAGAGTCATGATGAAAACATTTTTTAGATGATTCCTTACAGTTTCAAACTTATTTTGTTATTATTATAGGTCACAGACTATTACATACATAAGCAAAGCATTAAGTGCTGGAGAACTGAGAGGGTTGAAAATCATTATTCGTTCAGTCACTTCAATGAGCTTGTGCCTTCAGCTTTAATTCTTTTTTTGAAAGAGAAGTTCTAGAAATTCCAAATCAATCAGAAAAGTTGACATTTCCCTAATATGAAAATGTATTTCTGATAAATGCTTACCACCACACACAGAAATGCTATCTTCTTTACATGTCTGCCTATGAGACTTCCATGCCACTATCCTTGAGGTAACTCCTATCTAAGTTCAGATTTAACGTGAACTGCACTGGTGCATATGACATCATGCAACATAAGGCCCTCCGCCAACGGGAAGGTGACATAACATCTATGCATAGTAACTCCCTCTATACACTTACACTCATGATAACATCATTCTTTAATGAGGCAAGACAACAAAAATGCACACTGGAAGTGGAAGGACAGGTGGGAATGTATGCTGATGTAAGTATCTATCAGATATACACTTTCAGATTAGCAAAACATTAACTTCTGAAATAATAACTCACCTCCACATACAGAAATGCTAGAATCCCATGCTGAGATGGTGGAAGGGCCAGTGCAAACATTTACCTAGGGTGAGCTCAATTCAGAAAGTGCCTGAGGGGGAGCCCATGGAGTGTGACATCTGATGGCATGGCATCCAAATACGCACACCTGTGGGAGACTGTATCTCATCTAAACAAGGGTATACTTTTTTTTTACCCACAATGTATGGGGGAAGACAAATGAGCCTTTAGTATCACATGGACAGGCAGAATGAGAATATGACCATCCAAGCACTTGCACACAAGCAGTGTCAGTGAGCCAATATGTGTAGTGTGGTTGGGGCATGTTCAGACTGTACAGTGTGTGCTCACCTCGACTCTTCTGAACAGGCTTTGGCTGCAGGAAGAGGGCACAATACGTATGTAATGGGCAACTTGCATTACACAGACAGCATCACCACTGCCTCCCATCTCACCGTATTGCACTAAGTCCAACAACTGAGGATTCTTTATGGTCCACACCCCAGCAGCTATGAACTGGTAAGGGCAAGGGTCTCCCATGCTCCACTCAAAGAAAAAGGGGAGAGAATTCGCTCTGGGGAGACCCAAAAAAGTAGCTGGATTCTCATCAGACCATCAGTCAGAAAGTTCTTTTACTGGAGACAGTGCAATGGGGGATTGGAAATCCCTATTTTTTAAAAGCAGGCAGGTGTGAGCCAAAGAAGTAGGCAGCCACCTCTCTGGTGCAGGCTTTGTCCACAACAGTCCTTGGACTTGGTAAAGTCTGGATTGGACAACTGAACACATTTATATACCATGAGGGTACCTCAAATGGTGTTACAGAATACCCCATCTCACAGTGGGCACTGGAGAACTAGGGCAGATGGTTTGAGCACTTTCCGTTATACTATCTCAATGCAGATTTTGGAAAATGAGCATACCCTGGCAGGATCCTGAATTATAAAAAAGGAAAAATATATACACACTTACCCATCTCAAAGACAGTGAGTTGACTGAGGAATGGCAACCAGTGAAAGTAGAAATCTTTGGAATTGTTGGAGTGGATCATGACCAAGTAATCCATCAACAGGAGTAGGAAATGGGAATATGTTTGACAAACAGCTCCAAGTTCAAGCACATTGATATGGAGTGAATGCTTGTCCTGTGTCAAAATGCCAGAAGTCATTATGTCATTTGGAGAAGTGCCACAACCTAAGAGGGAAGCATTGGTGAAGAGATGGAGATCCAGCCTGAGGTGGTAAGGGAACCATGGAGGTAGTACTGCCACTGTCCTGCCACCATGAAAATTCCTTAAGTATAGAGGGGGGATCCCAACTGAGGACAGTAGATCCCGAGAAGAAATTGATTGGTTCTGCAAGGTCAACTGGAGGTGGTGCATGTGTTCATGTCCTGAAAGAATAAGGGGTTCCAGGGAAGCCAGAATCCCTAAAAGCAAAAGAGCTTCTCACATAGGATGAGAAGGACAAGCAAGAACTTTGGTGACCAAACACTTCATAACACATAGGCAAAGAAGGGGAAGGCTGAGCTTAGCTGAGATGGTAGTTGAACATAATACTCAGATGTAACAAATACTGAGTGGACATGAGAAAAGACTTGAATATCTTGACAAGCCACCCCAATCAAGCAGCCTCCTGCAGAAAAAGAGCGGTATGATTGAAAGATACCAACTGTCCATGCAGAAATGGAATTTTAATCCTATTTCATGAAGGTGGTGAGAAAAGGTTCTCATGACTTGATTGAAGGCATAAGAAAACAATGCTAAGCTGAAAGGAAGAGATGCAACTGGAAGATGACATTCCAATGGACAAATAATAGAAAATATTTTGAGGATGGGGCAATTGGGATGTGGAAGAAGGCATCCGACATCTCAATCTTAGTCATCAATAGACCAGATGAAAACAACCACCAAAGAGAAAATAAATTTTCCATCCAAAAATGTGGAATGACCAGAAAATGACTAGGAGATGAAAGGTCAACTCCAATACACCAGTCCCCAGTCTTCTTGGGGACCACAAAGAGAGGAGACTAAAAAACTGGAGAAAGGTTGGATAAAATCTCAATGGCATGCTTGGCCAAGAGATCCAATACTTCCTCCTTGAGACACTGAAGACAGACAGGATTGGAAGGAGGAGAAAAAGAAATGGGAAGAGTGGCAAAGAGAACTGGACAGACATACCATGGGTGGGGACTTGAAAAACCCATCTGTCAGCAAGAAACTGTGACCAAAGTTCAGCAAACTGAGAAGGATGGTTGCCCACAAGTCCCAAAACAACAGGATAGTCCCCAACAAAATGTGCAATGAACATGATGGCAGACAGTGGGAAGAATGATAAGAAGAAGAAGGTCTAGAAGGCAGAACAGGAAGGTGAGGGGAAGACTTGCCCAGTCAAGGAACAAGAGTTGGAGAGCAAGGTTGTGAGAGGTGAGAAACCAGAAAATATAATGAAAATCGGTGACAGGCCACCTCTGCCCAGGTCA